AGGGGGGGCGAAAAAAATTCCCTGTTTTAAAAAAGGTTTGGAAACTTGGGGGGGGAAATTTTTAAAAGGGGGGCCCGGTTTTCCGGAAAGGGGGGCAAACCCCCCATTTTTGGGGTTTTTCTTTTTTTTTTCCCCCCAGCCAACCCCGGGGGTTGGGGAGGGAAAAAGGGGCGGGGGGGGGAAGGAAAAACCCGGTTTTTTTCCCTTTTTTTTTTTTTTTTAAAAGATTAGTTTCGAAAGGGCCGGGGTCCCGGGGGGGGTTAGGGTTTTGGTTTTGTTTTTAAACCCGGCCCCTTTTTTAAAATTTTTTTGGGGGGCCCTCCCTTCGGGGTTTGGAACAAAAAATGCCGGGGAAAATTTTTTTTACTGGGGTTTGGGGTATTTCCCCCCCCCCCCCCGAAAGCCACCGCCATGTCATTTCGCGGCGGCGGGTTGGTGACCCCCCCCCCCCCCGATCCCGATCGATAGCTATATACTCGTACATGTACATTAGGTTTGACGAATGGCTTGGGGTACTCCCGCGGGCGGAAACCTTGCCTTGCGTTCCTGGGTGGGGTGATTCCAAACGTTGATTGAGCATTACAAGTAACCACGAAAAATTATGCGGCCCCCAAGACCTTATTCACAAGTTTTTCGTTAATGGACGCCATGGCAGCTTTCGTTAGGGGGGTTGTTGTCTTTGGACCTTTTCGAGAAAGTGGTACAGTACAGTACTACTATTGTGCCGTACCGGTACAGTACTCCTGCTACGAGTACCGGTTTGCTCAAAATGGAGGTGTTTGCCGCGAGCTCGGTTCAGGGGGGGTAAATCGCCAATTTGGCATTGCGGCACTATGGAAAGGGGCATTTGGCGAGTTTGAAGACATTACCCTCCTCACGTGCAAAAAGTATCATATTCATACTGGTGAAGGCAGAGCCTCATCATGAGGGATGGATGGATGGATGGATGGGGGGTGGAGTAGGGATAAAGTTCAGGGTGTCACAGTTTCGGCTGCATCCTGGATGTTGGAACCTTTTTTACCCTTGGGTCAGGAGCAGCTTCGGCAACATCCACCATACCCAAACCATGGAAAGAATCGCACTGCCACGGACTTATAATCCGGTAATGGCCCCCAAAATGACAGGTCTGTAATCTGGAGCGTGATATGCCTCCTGTCAATGTCTGTATTCTGACCGTGTAACACTTGGCTATCCAATCTCAGGCAGGGCTAGTCACCCCCCCTTCAATGGCTCCCCAACAGGACCAGGGAAGGACACAACTTCTTTCAACCCTCTTCCCCTCAGTTCGGTCCAAGCCCAGTCCAGCCCAGCCCACCGACCCCAAAACAGTCGACAATGTCCGAGCGACCGTTACAGCTCCTCACACTTCCATTCGATGTCCTCACAGCGCTTCTAAAGTCACTGGATACATTCGGTGACCTCCTCTCCCTCATCCGCACGAACAGCACCTTCTACAACGTCTGGAGGGCAAATACCCAAGGCGTGAGCCGACACATTTCCCTGCGACAATTTGCGCCATGGAGCGACGCCGTCGCAGCGCTGCGCGCGATCGACGGCAAAAGGTCGGACGAGAAGGACGACGACGACGAGGGACCAAGTTCGCGGGAGCCTCCGCTCTTCACACTCGGCGGCGAGAGCCTCTCGGCCGCGGACGTCAGGAGAATGATCAAGGGCGCGGGGCGCATCAAGGGGACCGCGAATCGCGATCGACTGAGGGACTTCAAATTTTCCCTCGTATCGGCGCGCTTCGAATCGCCGACGGCGTCCGAGCGCTTCCGCTCCGATCGCGCGCTCTACCGCGTCGCCATGTACTCCGAGAAGATGGCGAAGGATCGCCAGGGCTGGAGGACACCCAACTGCCTCGAACGAGACTTGGCGCAGCTCTCCCTGGTCGAGCTCACCGAGATCAACAAGGCCATGGAGATCTTCGCCCGGACTTTCGAGAGCCCGGCCTTCGGGGCCGACATGTGCGGCCAGATTGGAACCAAGATCTGCATGGCGGTGAACTTTACCGTGGCCAGGAAGCTTCAGAATCTGCGGGAAGATCCGGCCCGTGGGGTCGGAAAGGAGAAGGTGCGGAATCTAAAGAGGTTATTGGATAGGTACTCCCTTCTAGATATCGCCGTAGGCTACGTGAACGAGATGAATACGCTGGAGAAGAGGTTATCGGTATCGTGAGAAGGCGGTACGTACAATACCCGCGCCAACCCCCCACTGAACGAAAGAGTGCCCGGATGATGGGCGGTAACGAATACTAGGTGCCACCGTGAAGATGACCATAATATTATGATATCATACATTCAAAGCTTAAGAGAGCAACCCTAGCCCTAAAGATATTTGTGGGGGGGGGGGAAGGTGATGAGAAACTTGCGCGGTTCGGTTTGGAGTTTTCTTTCGATTCTGGGGGTTGGGTGGGGGTATGGGGGGGGGGGTATCTGCAGCCATTAAATTAAAGCATTTCACATCACAAAAAAAAACAAAAAAAAACACGTTATTGTTCAAGTTGTCCATGCAGCTCAGTGAGAAAGGTATCCCATCCGCAAAGCGGACGGCGATGATAGGAACCACTACGATACTCTCGTAATTTACCAGATAAACTAGACCCCGTGAGGAACACCACAGCGAGGCTTGGCGCAATCAACTAAATCGACCCGCCAATATTTGCCAAGCCTCGTTGAGAGTACAGTACAGTACCGCCTCTGAGCCCTCACAGAGTCTATTCTCTCATAATATTATAATTTATTATTATCGAAATGATTTCCAGTAGGGTCAAGTTCCTATTATTATACCTTCAACAACACGAAGCTATTGGTTGGTGACACACAAGATTTCTGTTGCATGGGGGTTCCTTGTTGAGGGTCCGATGGAACCTGTAGTGGATTTAAGCCTAGAGATGCAGTAGTGATTTGGTCGCTGATGTGATGGCCAAAATGCTCTTTTCGAGCCGTGCCGATGACTACTATCATACTCCGATTAGGCACTCCTACCCAACAACTACCCACTCGAGTACTCTGGGTGATCGTCTATGAAGGAACTTGCTCCAGTATGATGATTCCTCGTGTGGGCCACAGCACCCCAAGAAGACTGACTGACTGAATTTCCAACAAAAAAGGTGAAATTTCCCCCACGGATTGATTACCCAATTCACGCGGTTTAACTAAAAGGAAAAGAAAAAAAAACATAAATCACCAGCAATACATAAAAACCTCCATCTCACTCCACCAAAACCCTCAACGCCATCAATGTTAATACCCAACCGTAACACCCTTATTCCTCCACTGATCCCCAGTCAAACACTGCCCAGCAACAAACCAGCCAACATCCTTCCTACTAACCGTCCAACACCGCTCCAGCCTCTCGCCAGCTCTGACCGCACCCTCCTCCCCCTTGGCAACCCCATCAGTCAACAAGGCGGGCCGCACAATAACCACATTTCCCAACCTCCCCTCGTTCTTCCCATCAGGATTAAAATCCACATGGCGGATCCCGGCTGCAGCATGCACCTCCCTCTCCATTTCCTCCTTATCCTCGTGCGGCTCCTTCAGCAGCCAGCCGTAGAGGGGCTTCAACGCCAGCGGGAGGTCAGCGTGCCCCTGCGGGCCCAGACCGTTGGAAGAAATGACAACGAGCCGAGGCTGAGTCGCCGGCGTGGGGTAAAACTCGGTGAATATTGGGAGGAATATCTGCATCGAGCGAGTGCAGATGTGTGGGGGGACTAGCTTTGGCGAGAGGGGGTTTGTGAAGGAGGGGCGGCCGCCTAGAGATGTAAGGGTTTGGGGTTAGCACTGCTACTAGTTCCCTCCCGAGAAGGGATGGTGTGGAGGGAGGAGGTTATCATACCCAAACTGAACATGACGAAATCCACCTTCCCGGCCGCCGTAAATAGCTTGCGGATATCGTCCGCTTCGAACGCGTCTCCCTGGATGATGTGAAGCAAGGGTGAATTGGCGGGTACGTTTTGCGTCGAGAGCGTTTCCGCAGCGGCGGTCGAGTTCCTGGCCAGTATGTAGCATTCGTGACCGGCCCTGTGTAGATTGAGCAGGGTCTCGAGCCCACAGCCACGGGTCGCTCCAAGGAGTGCGCACTTCATTCTTGGGATATGCTGTATATAGAAATGGAAAATGGAGAGATATGTGTGGAGCAAAGGCAGACTCAAGGTCTCGGACGTGGTCTTTATAAAGCCTATCTTGGGGGGGGGGGAGGGTAGGCTTATAGTAAGAAAAAGTGGCTCTGTATCTACGTCCGCGGCTTGTATTTGAATAGGGATTGGCCGGAAGGAGATAGCTTGGGTAGTACGATAGACCGATATAGCATCACCACCAACCAATCCCGCATCGCGCGGTGCAGACTCCGTCGGTCCAAATCCGACCCGCCATGCCCACCGCACCGCACCCTACAGAAGAGATATATCGTACGGCGGTTGTACTAGTACAGTACTTGTAACCAGAAATAACCCAACCTAAGCCAAGCCCGTCCCTGAAAGTGCCAAGCCCAAGTGCATAATACTCCGCCTTGGCGACAAAACCCTCCGTCCGTCCAAACTATCATAGGAAAAGAAAGAAAAAAAACGCCCGGGCGATGCCCTGTTTTGCGGGGGAATCGAGGTTCCCGACCACAACCAATCATGCGGCAGTTTGCTGTTCCTGGGAGGGGGGATGGATGGATAAGCTTCATGCGCCATGCTTCGGTAACCTTACCTGGCTTAACCTTACAAACTTGTATGATACCCCGCTTACTGTTCCTACAACGGCATATCGGGCTTTTACAGGGGGAAGAAGAAGTTTAAGCACGGCACCGTATCATACACTGTACTCGTCGACCACGCATTCCGGGGACAATAAGCCCTGCGAGGTGTTTTACCTCTCAAAGTTAGGCCTGTGTTGTTTCCAACGGTTAACAAAGTTTTCTTGCGAGTGAGGGTTTGTGAGTGCGTGTGTCCACAGTAAAGAGCGATTGATAGCGCGGTTGTGTTGTGTGATGGGCACAAGGGTCAGGAAATAAAATAAAAAAAAGGGGGGGGGGAATCATGACGGAGCGGCAGGGATGTTGATGTCAAAATTTGTGGTATCGTAGCTGTGCAGCGCAGTGAGGATTAGTATAATATTATTACTTGTATTATGGAATACATCTGGTTCAGCACAGCCGGTTCGTCTGGAAATGCAAAAGCCTTCCATTACTAAACGGGAGCCTAGAGAGTACCGGTAGTATGATATCCTTTCGTTGAATTACCTCATCCATCCATTATACTCCTTAGGATTTGACTAAGGCGAGGGGAGACCGAGGTCCTTCTAGTGTCGTTTCCCATGGGTGTTGTCGAGATTTTGGTAATTCGCTGCACCACTCTTTATTGCCCGACCCCTGTATGTCGGCCCGCTAATTTATTGTGCTTGTATATCTTTCAAATATCATACTGGGGAATGTCGCTTAGAGAGCACCAGTAGTACCACTCGGAAAGAGGGAGGCATCTCCCTTCTGGGTGATTGATTGATTGCCGATCGCCTCACTCCATTATATAGCGGCTCGTGAAAATGAGACGAAATAGGTGTAACCTACAGGACACCTTTCATTAAGTAGGTTTTATAAAGGAAAAAGAGAAATAGTCATCCGTCTACATAATTTTGAACTCCACTGGAACCCTGATATCATCATCGTATAATCATCCTAGCGCTCCAAACAAAAGAAATGAAAGAAAGGTGCAAAGAAAGCCCCCCCCCCCCAACCGAACCTGCAAAAGGAAATCTAGGAGAAATGAGAAATCTAATAAACCCCCCTCCACCTAGCTAACTCATCTTCTTGACTCCGCGCCGTCTCCAAACCCGACCCTTCAGAGGGTCGGGGAGTCGGAAAAATGCTCAGATAGGCGTGCGGTTGGTCAAAAACCGGCGAAGGGAAGAACGCGGAAGGCTCCTCCACACCCGGTAATGGTGGAAACGTTTCACCCGAGCCCAGAAATCCACCAAAATCACAAAGCTCCTCAAATCCGGTCACCTGTGCACCGTGCTGGCTACCATCGGAGAACCCAGCACTGCTCAATCTGGATGAACCGGGCAGGGGGGGAGAAGTTTCTGCACCGACAGGAATTTCATCCTCGATGTAAACAATCACACCCTTCAATCGCTTCTTCACCATTCGCGCCCTCCGAGCGACGGCTAGCCTCTCCATCTTTGTGACCTCAAGGAGCTCCCGGGAGAGCCTGGTAAATTCCGCTCGACGGGGGAGTAGGATATCTCGAGACTTGATATCATCCAGTGCTCTTGTGCATGCATCGATGCCCAGCATCAACATATTCGCCGTGAAGGGATCGGCATGCGCGGTCGAATACCACATCATCTTACTCCCTATAAGCGCCTCCTCGGCTCTTGCCACTTCTATCAAAGCGCGAGAAGAAGTGATAAGTGTGTCGAGCGCATCCTGGAGAGGTTGTGTCCCGAAGCGTGGGAAAAGGAAGTGGATGATGAGCGTATGATAAGCGATTAACGTGACTGCGCGGGATCCCCCAGAGACGATTAACGTCTCGGACAGTTGTTCCGAGGCTGCCGCAAGGATATCTTTGACTCTTGAGCAGAGAGCCATCATGTCACGTTCTGGATCGAGCGATTGAATCTCGCTCGTTTGGTCCACCCTCCAATCGGAGATGGAGGGCTCATTCGCTCGAGGAAACAAGGCGTAGATATTTCCAATGGTAGAAGCAATATTGCTCAATGCCCACAGCTCCCCTATGATTTTCCCCTGCCTTTGGAAAGTGTTCCCAGAAGTCAAATCCAGCTTGTATATCATGGAATCCGATTCGCTTGGCGGTGGGAACCCCATTGCTGTCGGGGATGGCAACATATCCGCAGAGAATGGTTGATCAAATTGCATAAAGGTCCACAGTGTGACTGACAGTAGGATCCAGTATAGGTACTTCATCAACTCCGCTTCCACCTCTCCCGTGTCTACCCCATTTACTCGGCTTGTGGGAATCTTGGGGGATTTCATCAACTTGGTCACCATCCTACAGGCATATCCAACAAAACAGGTACCGCGGCGGGCCTTCGCAAGGCAGACGTCATGCCAACCAAGCAGGAGGAGAGATTGCGCTGTCGAGAGGTCGCAAGTATTTGCCGGAAGCCTGCGCAGGACAGAAATTGCATAATTAAAGTACAACTCAGACTGGGGGTCACCGTTGACATAAAGCGCCTGCGAGATTATGACGCACAGCAACAGTGGGTCGTATATCCTATTCTTGTATTGCTGCAGAAGCAGAGTCTTGGAGACAATTATAGAGATGGGATGCACCGAAAACCATGCCCCAATGAGCTCCACGACTCTGCTGGCGCTCATGAGATCAATCGGATTTTCATAGGATGGAGGGATGTCATGAAACATTGCCGGTGTAGGGTCTGACGCTAAGCATCTGAGATAAAATTTTCCGCGCGACTCTCCCAGATGGAGACAATCCAGTCGTCCATATTTGGTAGATACTATCTCCACCAGCTCTTGGGTAAGGACTCCTCGCATTGAATCGTAGCTCATTACCGCGTAGTTGACAGGCTGCTCCATGCTGGTATCCCCCTTGGCTCTGCGAGTAAAGGCTTCTATGGCTAGCTGATAGATGTTGGTCGAGTTTCCGCCAGGCGCAGGGTTGCTGCCAAAGCTTTGTTCGTACATAGTCTCAAATTCGGAAGCGAGAGTCCGTGCCCCAGCTAAAGGTAGGTCCAAAGGGCTACTAGATCCCGCTGGTACCGAGCCTCTGGAAGTACTCGTATCACTCCTAGAGTCATAGTCATGGGGAGCAGGCAGTATGGAGGTGGCAAGACTCTCAACAGTATCGGTACCTCGAGTGACCGAACTGGATCTTGTGCGTTTTCTTGGTCTCCCCTTGGGCGCTTCCAGGCCATAGATACAATCGATATTTCTTTCACGGCAAACATCGCACTTCTCCTGCCCGGAACAACGAACCTTGCGAGCCCTGCAGAACTGGCAGCTCCGACGGAGAGCACGAGTGGGGGCGGGTGATGTCATGTGAGTGGTGAGGAGAAATAAATTGGAATCCCGATCGTAACCGAGTTTTGGTTATTATTTAATAGGGTCGTAGTTTCGGAAAAAGGCTAGGTCGATGGCTTAAAGAGCTTAAATTGGATGCCCTGTTCGCACTCGAGTATGTCTGAAGGCTATCAAGCTCGAAATAAAGAGCCCTTCTTGGCTTCCCGTTACCCGGCTGGCTTGGCGATCTGGGGCGTTCCGCCAATCTGATAAATTTCTGGAGCGCCTGCGGGTATCGAAAGGCGCGTTGGTTCCTTCCGTTCAAGGTTCGCTGAGAGAAAGTTGTGGTGAAAGCGATGAAAGGGCAGCTGGATATGAAATGATTGATTGGAACCTAGAAAAAAAGAAGAGCGATGTTTTCCATACTTATGCTTTGTCACTTAATATGCCTTGCCTCTGCTCCAACCAGTAATCACGAAAATTGTCAAGCTACTATACTCAGCTCCTTAGGTGTTAATAGGGTCTGGGTAAAGTACGTCAGAAACGGTTTCTACCGTGGGATGGGTTTGCCCGCTCCCCGAGCTCAGGGTGTCGGGTGCCACGGTACAGCCGCGCCGGCAACGCTCCAGTGCCCGATTGGCATCTACATCTCGCTTAAACATCTCGGGCGCATTGTTGTGCAGCCACACAGCGATATGCATAGAAACTGAAATTCTCTAGTAGGGCAGTTACTCGTACTATCTCGCGCTGTCCACCCTTATTTGGAATAGCAGCTTGCAGGTAATAGTTTAGTATGCCAGGCCCTCATACATGCCAAGGTACGAGAACTTTGCCGACGACCCTACTACATCTCAGCAGGGCGTATCGTAAACTCTCGGGATTCGCGTAAGCCTCCCTCTTGAGCAAGACCACATCTCAAATACACCTACACAGCAGTAATGATACCGAAATTAATTTTAACCAGCCCACGCAATTATCAGGGGTTGGATTCAATTGGCGGAATCTTCGGTACCGAGCCGGCCCGTTCTCAACTCCCAGCAACTCGCCGGCCATTCTGCGCCCAGTACCGGTACTTGTACTCGAGTAAGCGGTTTTAGGGTAAGCGCCGTTGAGCCCCAGTTGTTGTCACACACGCATGATAGATCCCATCATATGATGCAGCGGTATCATAATATCGCAACCGCAATCACGTTATATCACTCGTGCATCGTGGCGCAGCCGTTTGGCCCTGATTCCGGTGGGGAGGGAGCAAAATCATGTTGCTGCACTCTCGCCTAAAGTTCGTGGTGGGCATTGCGTGGCCCTCACGGACCGAGCAGGCATTTAGCTATTGAACCGACTGAGACTGAGGATAGTGTAGGGAGTGGATACTGTAGTGAGAGCGGACAAAAAGAGCGAACATGGGTGTGTAGCAGCTATCATAGCATAGTTACAACAATGTGTGGAGAAAGTTATACAACTTGAATATTAGTCCATCTTGCAAGCCTTGTCGGGTGAGCGGGCCTAAGAGTTTCATTCTGTCCAGTATATTTATTTACCTTGAACCATGTACTGTACTGTACTGTACTGTACAGTACTATGATGTCCCTTTTTGTTATTATGATAGTATCCCAACACCTTGGCACTGGTGATTCCTATCTTGGCGCCAAGATGTCCGCATACTTTTGAATTGGCTGGTAGACCTAATGGGGAGGAGGAGTTACGGGCGTGATTCAAGGATAATGATGAATTTACCAAGTTCCTTCCACTTCTAATATTTCCTCTATTTCCATAGTATTCCCACTTTGATGCTATTCAATTATTCGGTAAATTGACAGCAGAATTCTACGAAACTGAGACATTCTCTCCGCTAAATCTCGCGTGGTACTCGAGTACAGTACTCGTATCTGGTGAGTCAGTACAGTACTCGTACAAAGACTCAATGCCAGCACCTTTCGCTGAACCCTCCCTGGCATCTTCCCACCTGTGCTGAACTTCCGCCCCGGAGCGAATGCTACTGGAATAGTCAACCAGGGTGCCTTACACGATATCGTATCCGACGCGGATCAAAACACGCCGAACAACCCCGGGGAACTACCGAGAGCCCGGGGGGCAGTAGCACCACACGAGCCTAATACTACGGTTTATGGAAGGGCAAAGACAGGCCATTCAGCTAAGCCCGCCTTCCGTCAGCAGGCGGTAGCGGTCGCTGCCAGGGAGGATCCTGAAGAGAACTCGCTAAAACAACCCATCCGGCAGTCGTCCCTAGCAAATCGATGCAGCATCTACGAGTAGTTCATGCACTCCGAACCGGGCGCAGGGCTGAGAGAGGAATGTCGCGTGGCTGAGTGGACCTGCATGCCAAGACCCCGAATGCGAATATCTCAAATCAAGGAATGGGAGTTCTTGACAGAATTATCATAGTGCACTCGAGTCGCCGGATTGAAGTTGAGGTTTTTCTTGGTAACGCGATTTGAGTATCGTAATTTAAAAAAAAATCTTTTGGATTATGATAAAATCGGTCCCCTCTAAATATTCATTCTTCCCTTGTATAATTCCGAATATTTGCGCCCTTCCTATTGTCTTGTTTTAGGGTAAAAAGTGAAACGGCCTTGGCATAGAAATTTGATGACTAACCCAGATAAAGCAGATGCAGCAGAATCATACAAGTAACCATGCAATGAAAATGCGGCTGTGCATCACACATTTCTCACAAGAAACGCTTCACTCGAAACGATTATGAGGGTCTGCCAAGACCCCAAATCTCTACCGAAAGAAAAAAACACCACACAGTTTTCCCCCTGAAATTCTCTCTGATATGATACTCTGTGCTGTTTTTCCCCTTTTCTCATATCAATTCGATTCGTCGGAGGCACTCAGCCCCGGAGTCGAAAAGAGCGTTTTTCGAGTGCCAGGTATCGAGTCGGTCTATCATACCAGGTTTTTATGCGGAAAGGGCCTTCGTTGCACATACCAGCCAGAGTCCTCAGACTCGAAGGAAAAGAAAGAAGAAGAAAAACTTGCATAAACGTTTTTCAGCCCCGGAGCTGAACGCCTCCAATCGCCCTGGTGGGGGACCGCACAACGGTTTCAACACCCGCTTAAAAGTCTCGTGCGACGTTTTGGAGCGCATGCACTATAAACCTTACTGATCTTGGGGATCTCCCGGCCCTTCCTTGTGTGATAACCTAACTACCGGTTCTAGCCCCCTCCGGAAGCGATGTTGGGGGGGTGAAGAGGCTCGAATATCCGTAGTCTAAGCATCCCGGGGGGGCAGTCTTAAGGATGAATAAGCGTTGTGCCAGAGACCCATTGGAGCAATGCGGACCCAGCCACAATACAGTACGATGTTGTGCCCTAACCGCTCGGCATAAAGCGCACCTTGAAAGAAGATGGTTGATTATATTGCGTGGTGGTTGTGCGGGTCTGCAACTCACTCCCGCATGGAAAAGCTTGTGCAATTATCTAAGCTGTACTGTTAGTGGGTGGAACCGCTACCAACGGTCTTTCATCTGTATGCAGGGCCCCAGGAATTTATATGCTATTCTCTAACACTCCACCGAAGAGCATAGTTCATCGCACCTTAGCACAATGCACGCAGCTAAGAGCATCCAAGGCGTGCCCAGGCGTCTATTGGGATTGTTGTAGACCTCCAAGCAAAGTGCCAAGGCAAGAATATAATACCAAGTTACCGTATTCGAGTTTTCAGTCATAGGGCAGCCCAAACCATTCGTTAGACATCCCCACCTCTACTCGTATCTTTGCGATGGTGAGTGTCCTGTTGACAAAAGGCAACCTCCGCCAAAAATTCGCCATAGCACGGTTTCCATAGCAGTAATGCACTACAATGATACGCCCCCACCTGCCCTTTCTGGGGGGCGTGGTATGATAATCAAGTAGCTTTCCTCCCAAACCCCTTTAACCCCGCTTCTAATTCCGATGATATGATAAGGTAACTTGGATGACGAATACCCCAATACAACAGTTAACCTTACTGCCGAGCTGGCCCAGGGCACCGCGGGGAAAACATGATTAAAGCCACAGGGACGCTCTTGCTCTAGGGTGTACTGTACGTTTCGTCACTCGGGGAAGTTTCAATCAATGCCTGGGGGCTTTCGTGGCCGCCGAACCAATGACCAATTGGACGACACTTTGGGAAACCATAAAGCGAGGGTTAAATCCTCGGATAGGTGGTCGGGGTGAATTGAATGCTGTAGCCCTCCGGGTTTTCAAGAAGTAGAGGATGAATTCTAGGCCTAGTTGGGTCGTATTCTCTCTCAAATTCCCGGTTCACCCTTTCGAAAATGTATGATGTGAGAAGTCTGCTATCATATTATCATACCTCCTAGCTGTGTGTATGTAGGCACGCCCTGGGGCCGAGACCCCAAAGAGCGTACCTTGCTCCGTATTTGCTGTCGAAGCCAGCAATCAAAAAACATCCTTAGGGCGGGCGGGGGGATTGTTCAAAAGCACGATAACTCCCAACCTGTATTGAGATATTCCGAGAGCCAGCACGTTTAAATTGGACTGTATTCCCAGGCAAACCACAAAACTGGTCGATACGGACACGCGAAGGATCCAAACCGCAGATACCAGTCAAAGCAGACTCGCAAGACAATACAGCTCTGTAAACCCCCAACCGCAACTGATATTTGACCCCCGAGTTTCCCCATCAGTTAGCCTACCCTTAAGAAAAAGGCTCGAGACTTCACTCGAGACATATGTGCGAGCTTGGTGCCAAAAATGTGAGCAGAATGGCACGCAACAACCCAAACCCTCCTACTCTACTTCACTCCTTCCGTTCAATACGTTCTGAAGTTGTGGGGGTTTTGGTAAATTGCTAGTGTAGTCCAAAGTTCTATATAAATGTCTCTACAGGTAATTAAAGGATCATCAGCTACTTTTTTATGTGATGCTATGAGCTGAAGTTTAAAAAAAAGCTCAAATCCAGCCAATTTCCCATACAAAAATATGTCTAAAAATGCGTCAAGACCAATATACCGACCTAGCCCTCTTTCTCTTGAAAATTCCCAGCCGGTTTGGGTACAGAGTTGTAATGGGTTGGAAAGTGAAATCCAAGGAACTGCTTCACAATGTCATATAGATGAAGATTTGGTTCGCTTCACCGGATCAGTGGTTGGGGTATCGTGAACATGGTTGTTTTCAGTGGAAGACTGTTTCATCTCATTTGACGCCACCCTCCCCGAAAGCAACTTTTCGATTACGGTCCGATACGAGTAACGCCGAGAAAGCTCCTGAGGTTAAAACTCTAGGTTACTACGCGAGTCTTGTGCAAGCATGATATCATACCGGGAGAGATGTTTTTTCTTACATGGCATGGATTGTTTTTCTGGTTAATTAACAGTATCGCTGTCTTGCACGAAAACATATCCCTGGGTACCTTTCCCTGGTAAGAGGTGCCCGAACATTTAGAGGGGAGAAAGGTGATATCTCGGGGATATTCCACCTTAAGTAGAGGTGGTGTTTATCCCCCCTATGTTCGGGCACAGTACGGCTTTCTGGGGCCAAGTACTTGTACAATACGAAACCTTCACGATCGTGGTCAGGTCAAAATATATTAGTCCTCGAGAGCTGTGTCAAAGAAAAATTCTCCTTTTTTCCCTCGTAAACAAGAAGAGACATCCGGAGGATGAGTGGACTGGCAGCCCCGTAGGAGTGAGAAAAATATGTTGATTTCCAACGAAGATTGTTGTTGATGTGCCCTGTAGGTCAGCGCAGCGCAATGGATTCTCCGGACGATGCACACCTCAGCACCTCCAGAGCCTAGTAGTTATACGAGAGTGCTTCAAGTTACAGAATGTGGGAAATTAAGTTCCAAAAATCGAGTAGTTTAATGATATCAATAGAATTCGTGAAACAAACTGAGTCTGTTTTTCCAAGTAATATCATACCTGAGTGAGATTGCGCGCTTGCTTTACCGTAGCATCCGCCAAACCCAATCTGCTACCCAATCCACAAAGACCCCTTGGAGCGCTCATTAGCCACGATCCAAAACCTCTGCCAACATTGGGGTAAAAGAAGGGCCTGAATCCGGGATTGAACCGGAGACCTCCTGCATTCCTGGAGACCCAAAGCAGGAATCATACCACTGGACCATTCAGGCAATTAGGAGATCACCACCATTCACGTATAGAACTGGCACGGACACGAGAGATAATCTCAATTTCGTTGGGTCATCGAGTGATATTATATGACTGGACATTCTAGTTGGGCAGGGGGCAACACAAATTGGGATAGTCTCTGGAATTGGTTGCGTGAGTAGATGCTTTGATACAAAAAGGCCTACACTTAGCTATCAGTAAGAATGGACATCTCTCCTCTTCCGCCGGGATCTACGAGTATTCCCGTTATCACTATAGTGGCGGTGTGGGAATAGCAGCGATCAAGGGGGATTGGAAAAGTCCATAGCGAGCATAAGCCACTTAAATCCCTTTTCGTCTACGGAATGATAATATACATCGCTCACTGCTTTTCTTAATCGGAAATTCGCCTACTGCCATGAATGTATACCTGTAAAAGTTTTTTATCGGGCAACACAGCTGCCTTTCGTGCTAATCACGCGGTATCCATTTTATCGTCGTCCTTACTTCCACTTCCTCCTTCCCCACCTTCCTTCTTCAATAATGGGGTATTCTCGTCCTCCTCCTTGATTCCCTCTAAAGAGCCCGAAGCCTCTCCACTCTCCTTCTTCCCTTCTTTATCCTCCTTCTCCCTTTGTTCCTTCGCCAGCCGAGCCTTCTCGTCTTCCATAGACATTCGGAGCGCCAATGCCAGCTCAGGGTCCAAACTCGGATCGACTCCGAAGTCAAATCCCCCAGCTCCTTCTCCCGTAGCAGCCCCCGCACCCTCTCCAGCACCTCCAGACGAAGCACCTCCGGCTTCGCTCAAGATCGGGGTAGTAACCAAAAGGTCTGAAAGAAGATGAGGTCCAGGTGGGATAGTAGCCAGATGTGAGTTATCAGCTGAGTTGATGGCATCGACAAAGGCTTGGAGCTTGGTGGTATTGTCAGTTTCGACCTCACCGAAGTTAACGAAGTCTATTGCGACATTGTTTTTCTTCATCTTCTTTGCGAGCTTTGTGAGAGTCTTTTCATCTTCAACAATAGGAGAACCGACAAAAACGATGATCCGCTGGCGTTGAGACTTGTTCTGGCGATGCTTTAGCGCTAACTGTAGAGTCGTGAATAGAGTTGATCAGCTTGAGACCTATGAGGTAAACTTGGAAGAATTGGCGCGGGAGATAATCTATAACGTACACCGGCAACTTGGATCCCTGTCGCTAGATGAGTTCCACCTTTGATCTTTGTGTCGTGTAATCCGCTCAAGATCTTCCCAAAATCTGTGGTTAATGTAACCAATACCTCCGGTCCCTTACCACCCATAGTCATCAAGCCTACTGATGATTCTGGGTTGGCTTGAGTTTTTGCGGAGAAGATAAGGGAGACCGCATCTGCTTGAGCCTCAAAACGAGTTGGTCTTTGTTGATCGAATTCCCTAGTCAGCTCTAAGCCCCAAGCGGGAAAAGGAGTTGAAAGCTTACGTATAATCTCCGTTCCGACTGCTCTCGCTGTTGTCGACTCTGCAAATAAAAAAGCCATAGTTAATAGCTGATATGAAATCTATGAATCTCATGGGCTCACAAACACTATCATGGTCGCCTCCAACATGATTGCGGCGGCACTTATCTGCGTAAAGTGTAAAAGCTGTTGCTGGGGTGTTGCTGGGGGATAGCGTGATGAGGCAGCGATGGTGGAGGCTGATAGGGATGATAAATCAATAGAAGTGGATTGTTAAGTGAGCCGTGTACTCGGCGTTGGGAGTTCTGGTGGGGATTCTCTAAATCAAGGCTATGGGACTGAGGTATGGTGGAATTACCCGGCTTTGCAGTGCGCCAAGCCCTTCCACGCTGGGGACTTTTAACTTTGCTTTGTTTACCAACACCTGCTCTGCTTCCAGTTTGCCCATAAAAAGGACAGACTCACAAAAACGCGCCGCTATTCCACCTTTCCTCAATCAACGCGATTAGTTCTCAAGACTCATTGTCACATATTTTCTTCTTCTTTTTTTATTTTTTACAGATGGCACCCCTTCGACGGAAAAATCGTAATTCTCAATCCCCTTCTAACGCCCCTGGGTCACCAATACGAACTCCAACACAATTCCCGCGATCCCCCATGAAATCAACTTCTGCAATGACACCAATGAAGTCGCCTTTACGCCAAGTGCGTCCTGCCGGAATTACGAAAAACCAGAAGGCCACTATCGTTGAAAACTTGAACTTAGAGAGTACGTCTGGTCTATGAATTATGTGGTGCTTCAGCAAATGGACATCTAATGCGTCACTATAGTAACCGAACGCGCCAGAAAGCTCCGTGCACAGTACACCATGCAAGCTCGCTCATTAAAGCAGAGGATCGAAATGCGAATTAACAGAGTACCCAAGAAACTCTGGGGTATGAAGATGGGAGATTTACTAGCCCAGCACTCTAACAAAAATAAGGAGCCGAAGGCAATATTACCGAAATTGGGTCCCAGGGGTGTCAGGGGGTTTGTGGAAGACGTGAAAAGATTGAGGTTTGTTCACTGGTGTGTTCTAGTCTGGCTCAGTGCTCTTACTAAATTCTTGGCCATATAGTAATGATGGAAATTGCCAGCCCGATGTTCCACCAGAACGGCTTATTGTTCCTAAAAAGAGAGTAGCCAAAAAACCTGTCGGCGCCTCAGCTCGAGAGAAGATGCCTCCACCTCCTCTTCCAGCGCATCCTTCCAGCGGGCCTAGCCTCTCTCCCGGAAAACCGAGTCTGCCGCCTTCATCTTCCCCTGTTCGGTCATCATCCCCAGCGCGGCCCCTACCTGCCAAGAAAACGGTTGGACGAACAACCCGCAAAGTTCCTTCGAATGGCTCAATTGCTTCAGCGTCAACTCGACCGTCATCTCGTGCTACAACGCGCTCCTCACTTGAAACAACTGCAACTAGTGCTGGCAGCAGCCAGGAGGTGACGAAAGCTACCAAAAGCTCGCAGGCAAAGGGCAAAGCAGCTTCGACGATGACGGCAAATACAGTAAATACAGCAAATACAGGGCTAAAGCGGGGCGGTGTTAAGGGAAACCCAAGCTCGGGGAGTTTAAAAGAAAATAAAGTGGCTGGGGTGAAGGAAAAACCTTCTTCCTCTAAAGTTACCAAGAAAGAAGCGGCAGCACCCACAGGTGGGAGAATATTGAGATCAAGGAAATAAGCTCGTTTTGGAAATCTATGGAGTTTGGAGTCAGGAAGCAAAGGGTTAAGTTTTTATTCAACTGCCTCAGGGGATGGGCATCATTGCTTTGGGCCATAGCAAAAAGTCGGATATTCCTAGCTACGTTGTTGAATCTCAGCTGGCGCAGGATGCCTCCTCTTATACTTGTCAGTTCCGTTTCTTGGGTCTGCTGCGTGTTTTCTCCTTTTTTACCTTTATGTTTATATTTTATTCGGTTGTCTGATGTGTTTTCCCTTTGACTTGGGCAGTTGTATAGTAGATGATACATATGAAATGCTAGTAAGTTGATTTCCGTATTTTGAATTGAGATTCAGCCGATGAATGGTATATGATATGATCATATAAGGTTGTTAAGGCAGGAAGCCCTCGGACTCAAGAAAACTTGAGGTATAAATCAACCACTTGATTGCTCGGTGGTATATAGTTCTAGCCCCTACAAACAAATTCGAATGATAAGGTATGAGAGTAAACTAGGCAGAAGCAGCAACATTGCGGTGGGGTCCTGGCTTTATGTCGGTGACGGCTTTTAGGAGATCCTCAATAACCCTAGGGCCCTTTTCTTTGGTCGCAGCCTCAATATCCTTCAAAGTTTGCTCTATCTCTTTAGTAGCTTCTTCCTCGGCTTTGGCGTTGGCACCGGAATGCTGCAATGCAGTTAGCCCGTTTTAAAACCCGCACCGCAGAAAGGCGAATAAGCCAACCTTAGATTCAAATTCTTTGAATTCATTCTCTTTCTGTTTTTTGTATTCTTCGATCTCTTTTTGAGCCTCGCTACGAGCGTCCTTAACTTTTTGTGTTCGATCTGTGATAGGTTTAGTAAGATATTTCAATGGGTGAACAAGAGGGAGGGGGTAACGGAGGGGTTACGCACAAGCTCTCGCTAGTGTGAGCATCGCCATCATCAGAGTTAGCAGCCATCAACCTCTTATACAAGAAATAGATCCAAAGACATCTGGTGTCTGCTGTTGCGAATACGAGCTTCTACCTTTCTGAACTATCTTCTGTGCCTCCCTTTCGGCCTATCCAATATATTGTCAGCACCACCATCGCTGTCACCATCACCCAGATTTCAACAATCCCACAAAGCTTGGTGGTGCGCACATCGAGGAGGGTTTGAATCCCAGCAGAGTTTTGAGCGGACTATAAAAGTAAAATAAGTAAGCCCTGACACTTTTGATAGTTTCTAGACGGTAGAGCGAGGGGTAAGGAAAGAGAAAAAATACCATTGTTTCGATTTTTGTATGGCTCCGGGAGCTCGAACTTTCCGATTGATCGATCAGAAGAGAGGATTTTAAGAGAGTTTATTGGAACCGAACAATGGAGCCGGCGATCATAAGCATAGTCTAGAGGTAACGGCTGAACTTGCTCTTCGCACTCATCTAGTCTTTCTCGGGCGCCAAGATTCACGCCCCTTGCAACCATCCCCGGGTCTCAAATCTCCTATGTCTGTGTACGAGTACAGCGAGAACAATCAACAGTTTACAGAGACCAGTTCCATTTCCTTCGGGCTCCCTGTGAAACGATAGAAAACTCGGCTGCAGGTCCTTATCCGTTGGAACTCCCCTACTAATCCGAACATCAAACGCGTTAGGAGGGTTTGACCTTGCCTCTCCTTTGTGACCATCATACAGAGTCCTAAATTGCACCTTTGCTACTGAGTATTTTTCTTCTCTCTTCCTCGCAGGCCGATAACCGCACACTTTCCTCTAGATGCAGTTCACCTACATCTTTGCGCGCTGTTTCCTCGTCTAGCTATATTTGCCCCTTACGTGTGGTTCAAGCAGGACGGTTGGAGACAGTGGATAGTTCGGGTGCTGTTGGAACTTCGGGACTTGTACCGGCCGGCTAACGAGCTACGATGGCGGGTGGCAATATCAAGGTGGTTGTGAGGGTGCGACCGTTTAATAGTAGAGGTACTTTCTACCTTCCTCCCCTCGAAGATACCAGTACGGGGTTGTGCGGGGTGCCCCGAGCTAACGCTGCTGTGCGGACGACCTGTCCTGTGTGAAATTTAGAGAAGGATCGTGGCGCAAAATGTATTGTTCAAATGAAAGACAGCCAGACGGTCCTGATCCCACCCCCTGGAGCAGAGAAGAGCGCCGGAAGTAAAGCCGCAAAAGATGGTGGCCCTAAAGTTTTCAATTTCGACAGGAGTTATTGGAGTTTTTCTAAGAGTGATCCTAGTTACGGTGCGTCGGCTTTGGTTATTAGATGGGTGTCGATGGGAATTCTGACGGATTTTGTAGCGGGCCAGGAGAATCTGTTCGACGACCTCGGAAGACCATTGCTAGATAATGCCTTCGAAGGTTATAATAATTGCATTTTTGCTTACGGCCAGACTGGGTCTGGGAAATCGTACTCTATGGTATTCAGTTATACCCCAAGCTCCTCTAGGAAACCTATAAGAGACATCTTAGGGGCGCAATACCATGCTAACCATTCGCGGCGGGGTAGATGGGCTACGGTGAGGAATACGGTGTAATTCCGAAAATTTGCCAGCATATGTTTGAGCGGATGTGAGTTATATCCCTAGTGGCACATTGAAACAAGGGCCACCCAGAGCTGATCTTGCTGTAGAACTACTCAACAAACGGATCCAAATCTGAAATGCACCGTCGAAGTATCCTATCTAGAGATTTACAATGGTATAGTTTTGAATAGTTCTTGTCCTACCCATACACGTCTTCTGACTATTCGAACAGAACGAGTTCGCGATCTCTTAAATCCAAGTACGAAAGGCAATCTCAAAGTTCGAGAACATCCTTCATTAGGCCCATATGTTGAAGACCTTGCGAAACTCGTAGTGAGCTCCTTCAGCGAGATCGAGCATCTCATGGACGAGGGAAACAAAGCAAGAACCGTTGCTGCCACAAACATGAATGAGACATCGTCACGTTCCCACGCTGTTTTTACCCTCATATTAAGTCAAAAACGGCACGACGTTGAGACGGGCTTTGATACCGAAAAGGTTTCCCGAATCAGTCTTGTTGATTTGGCTGGTTCTGAGAGAGCTACGTCTACTGGTGCCACTGGTGCGAGGCTAAAGGAGGGGGCTGAAATCAACAGGTCCTTATCCACACTGGGCCGTGTGATTGCAGCTCTGGCAGACCTATCCTCAGGAAAGAAGAAGAATGCAAACATGGTCCCTTATCGGGACTCCGTCTTGACCTGGTTACTTAAAGATTCTCTCGGTGGCAATAGTATGACAGCCATGATAGCAGCTATTTCACCGGCCGATATCAATTTCGATGAAACTCTTTCTACCCTTAGATATGCCGACTCAGCCAAGAGAATCAAGAATCATGCGGTCGTGAATGAGGATCCAAATGCCAGAATGATCCGAGAGCTCAAGGAAGAGTTACAACAATTGAGACAGAAACTATCTGGTGGCGGTTCGATGCCAGAAGAGAATTATGCCCCAGACACGCCGCTTGAAAAGCAAATTGTTACTATTACTACTCCTGATGGACAGGTGAAGAAGGTTTCGAAGGCTGAGATCGCAGAACAATTGAATGCGTCTGAGAAGTTGCTAGGCGATTTGAATCAAACCTGGGAAGAGAGGTTGGAAAAGACGCAACAAATTCACAAGGAGCGTGAGGCAGCACTTGAGGAGCTGGGGATTAGTATAGAAAAAGGATTTATCGGGCTCTCGACCCCAAAGAAGATTCCTCATCTTGTCAATCTCAGGTTAGTGATTTTCCCTATCTCTATCAGCAAATAGCTTATCTATCCTAGCGATGACCCACTGTTGGCCGAATGTCTAGTCTATAATATCAAGTCAGGAACCACATTAGTTGGAAACGTCGAAACCTCCACCACTGCTCAAATTCGCCTGAATGGTTCAAAGATTCTAACCGACCACTGCCGATTTGAAAATGAAAATGGTGTCGTGACATTAATCCCTGATCAAAAAGCTGCTGTCATGGTCAACGGGTTGAGGATTGATGGCCCCAGAAGATTACGGACAGGTTATCGCATTATCTTAGGCGACTTCCATATATTCAGATTCAACCATCCGCAAGAGGCCCGCGCAGAGCGAGACAAACTAAGGCAATCTGCAACAATGAACTCTGACCACCGTCACTCATTAAGCAATGCAATCACTATAGATCCATTGGAGAGGGCTGAATCTGAGACAAATGGTAGTAGGCCAGATTCTCCGGCTATGATTCCAAACAGCCGCGATATTGATTGGTCATTTGCTCAGAGGGAAGCCGAGGAGATGAGACACAGGAATATTCGCAGAGGACGTCCCGATAGTCGTCTTGATTCAATAGATGATGGAACCGAATCCGTTACGTCTTTTCCGGGAATTCGAGAAAAATATGCCTCTATTGCTACTCTAGATGAGCTCTCACTCGATACGGTGATTACTATGCCGGGGACTCCTCAGCAGGGTGAAGCTGAGGAGAGATTGAGGCTCATAAAGGATGAGATGCAGGCCCAATTAGGGAAACAGAAAGAAGAGTATCAGCAAAAGCTCAAAGCTACCGAGGAAGCTCATGTCGAGATCGAGGAGATCAAAGCTGAGAGAGTCAAAATGCAGGAAAGGCTTGAATTGGCTAAGAAGGAAATGCAAGAGAAGTTGGAGTTACAACGAAAGGAGTATGAAAGCCGACTCGAAGAGATATCACTTTCTCCCCCAAAGGCTAGAGAGTTTGATGATGGTCTATCAGATATGGAAAAGAAGCTGGCCAGATTCGCGTTTGACCATTGGCGTAAGCGAAGATATGTACGGATGGCAGAGTCGATACTACAACACGCTGCGATCTTGAAAGAGGCGCAGATAATGAGCAATGAAATGGAGAAGTCGGTGGTATTCCAGTTCACAATTGTGGACGAAGGCCACACGTTTCAGTCGAGTTACGATTTAGTGCTGAACGGAGTATCGGCTGAAGACGACGAGTTTCTTGACATGGCACGAAAACCCTGTGTCGGTGTCCGTGTGATGGATTTTGAGACCAATGCCGTTCACCTCTGGTCTTTGGAAAAACTACAGAACCGTGTGGGCCAGATGAGGCAAATTTATCAATACCTGGATAGGCCGGAGTATCTGCAGGTAAGACTCTTTAGTATTACCACCTTCAATTTACTAAACCCCTGTGAAGCACCTTCGCCCCAGAGACCCATTCTCAGAGCCAACTCCCCAACAATACTCTTTGATTGGAGACGTTGATGTTCCCTTGACGGCAATATTTGAGTCACGTCCTCAGGATTTTGTACTTGACGTCATATCACCCCATACGGCGAGTGTGGTTGGCATCATCAAACTCGCACTTGAACCTTCATGGGCGGAAGCACCCTCGTCAACTCTCAAATTCAACGTTGTGATGCGAGAGCTACAAGGTTTTGCGGAACGGGAGGGATCATCGGTTCATGCTCAAATGTTCATTCCCGGTATATCTGACGAGAGTGGTGCCACTACAACTGGTATGATAACGGATTTTGACGAAGGGCCAGTGAAATTTGGAAGTACACATCCTATGAGTATGCCTCTCGGAGCCCCACTAAGAAATACTACTCTTCGAGTGGCCATATTTGCAAAAATCACAAGCATGCATCTCGAGAAACTTATCAGTTGGGACGATATGCGAGACCCCAAACCCACATCGCCTCAGAAAAAACGGGGTGCTCGACTGAACGAGACAGAGTTCTATACCGAGGAGAAGCATGACGTTTTTGCCCGCGTCCAAATACTGGAGCTGTCAGAGTCTGGGGATTATCTTCCAGTTGAGGTTATCCAACAATCTGAAACTGATCCTGGACTATTCCAGTTACGCCAGGGACTGCAACGTAGGGTCCAACTTAGCCTTACGCATAATTCGGGAGATGCTTTCCAATGGAGCGATATCACGCAACTTCGAATCACTTCAGTGCGGCTCCTTGACCCCCGGGGGAAAATACCTGATATGTCATCGCCAACCCGCGAAATAAAACTCAACACAGTTCTAGGACCCGTGGTTAAGAAGAACTCCGATGGTACTGGCACAATCGGTGTTGTTGCTCAGTGGGATTCCAGTCTCCATAACTCCATATACCTGGATCGAACCACGGCAGACAAGTACCGTGTCCAAATGAATCTCCGGTGGAATGTAGTTTCCGACAAGTTATCGGAGCCAATCGCCTTCTCGCAGGACGTTTTTTCACAGGTGCAGCCCAGAGTACTTAAAAGCCCTAATAAATTCATGCAGCTGTGGAATAACAACAGAATTACGCATGCAAGTGTGGGACTCTTCCAATTGGTTGTTCGGCCAGCTGCAGCTCGTAGGGCGGGCGACCTCTGGAGAATGAATACCATGCACCGATATGTGAAGGGCGAAGAATATCTTGGCGAGTGGACACCTCGCGGTGTAAGTTTGGTGAGGGACTTCCTCAGGGCGAAGAGGAAAAGAATCAGGGCCGCTGAAGTCGAGAACGCCAAAGGGTTCTTAAGCTCTTTACCAGTAACCAGAAATGTGACACCAAAGCCCGGGGCGGGGGAGCTCCCAGCAGAAATGTCTCGTGAGGGCACCAGGGAGATCACGCCGCAGGAAAGTTCTTCTGGTGAAGCCATGGAACTTAGCGAGGAAAGGGGCGAAGTCGGTGGGGAGCCTGAGTTAGCAGATAATACGAAGATAATTGAAACTATTCAGGAATATCCCCCAACTAAAGACGTGCAGGATGAGGATGGGGCTCCAAAGGACCCGCCAGATTGGGCTTCAGAATACACACCAGCTGAGACTCCGGCAGGAAGTGCAGGAGGGAATTCTGAGAGCAGCCCGAGAGAGAGCCGTCAGGGGAGTCCAAGGAGGAACTCAGCAGAAACACCGGAAAGGGCACTATTGAGCGAGTCGATTGCGAGCGAAAGCGCCGCCCCAAGAGGACAGGATCCACATGTACATGTGCTACGGAGATATGTGGATTTGTGGTCCTCATGGAAAGACCCCAGCGAGGTAGGCAGCCGGTACCCTGGAATGTGTTTGTGGAGGAAATATGCTAACGGAAAACGCCTACCCTAGAATATACTTGTCCGACAGAACACGGAACCTCCACAGGATGCAGCTTGCTTTGCTGAGCCAACAGAAGCTGACCCTCCGCGATTGATTGCCGAGGTCCGGCAGATTCCCAAAAGGTTTATTGATCCAAGTACAATTAAAAAATACACTCTCTAATGTGCTCCCCTCCTGTATAGTACCTCAGTGTTGAAGTCGGGTTATCTGTTTGTGCCAGATGAATCCAATAAGGCATGGATCAAGAGGTACTTTGAACTGCGACGGCCCTATCTGCATGTTCACTCGATCACAGACGGAGAAGAAATCACAGCCATCAATCTCACCCACTGCCACATCGACCATAACCCTCACGTTCGAAAACTCCTAAGAAGACAGAACAATAATATATTTGCTCTGTACACACCGCTCAATACCTATCTCTTCGGGGCGAAGAGCGAACGAGAGATGATCGAATGGATATTAAAGATAGACCAATCTCATTTTGACACCAACACTAGTCGGAGCAACACGCCTGCCGACGAATAGAGAAGAGCACCCTTGGGTTAGCGTTAATGAATGCCGTCCTATATCGTGAATCGTGGGGAAGGCGATTGCAAGATGATACAGCAGAAATGAGTGTTTGTGTTTGTCTTTTTCTTTTTCTTTTTTCCTCAAAAAGGGTGTTCAGGGCTTCTTCGTTTTTCTCCTTTCTTTCGCTTCTTCGATCGAAGGCCGACTGTTCGTTTCTCAGTTTGTTTTTCGATAAAGCTTTAGAGTTTGGCGTTTGATTCTTTCCTTCCTCACCAGAGGGTTTTCTACGGGGAGGCGGGTGTGGGGCACTCATCGTAGAGATGAGAGGGAAGGTTTGGTAGGCGGAAAGGGAATTATGCTTATGGGCTCTCTGGTCAGGCTTGCAGCATCACGATAAGTGACGAAAGCAGTGTTTTCTTTTCTGTTTTTTTTCCCTTTCTTTTCTTTTCCCCGTTTCTCTCCCTCTTCCACTTACACTTTAAAGGTCTCATTAGAGTGATCCTTCGTAAGACACTGCTTTTCGATAGTGTCTGACGAAGATGATTACGATGATCACGATGACAACCATTACCCCCCTGAAGATATCCATTACAGTAGTTGCACTGTACCCGAGTATAGTATAATACTATTCAAAGTTTAGCCCTACGCCCAACATATTTATCGTGTGATGGATGTCAGTTATGATACCGATAGTCTACCGGTATGATAGCCTACTGGTATCATACTCGTACAGTGCAATACCCCTATCCCATAAGTAACGTACCCCACGGCGAGTCGAAACACACGGTGACACGAAACAGCCAAACAAAGTGTAGCTTAATACAAGTTATACGGCAACCACCTCCGATGAAAATCCACAATTAACATGAATCATCTCGGAGTCTGTCTTCAACCTCAATACCAATATCCAACCCATGCACCTTATTCTTTTCCCTTCCATCTTCCTCTTCCTCATATTCAATATCCAAACCATTCAATCCTTCCAAAGCACTTTTCTCTTCTGCCTTTAATTTTTCATACACGTTCTCCTTCTCTTTTACTAATTTTCTGTATCTTTCCATTTTTTCCTCCAATTTCTTCTGCTCACCTGCTAACTGAACTGCAGATTTATATCTTTTACTCCTACCCCCTTCCACCTTATTTTCTCTCTCTTGCTACTGCTTTTTCTTGTTTCTTATTTCTGTAAGCTTAGTCTGTATACTACTATACAATCGTGTATAATATTCAAAACTACTTTTTGCTGCTTTTATCTTACCACTATAGTTAGTTTCAATTATCTTTTTCACATCACCGGCTGAGATAGCTGAGTTATCAACCTTAATCTTTCGCTTCCCTTTGTTGCCAGAATTAATACCTTCTTCTATAAGGTATTGACGTTTCTTGCGTTCAGTATTGTGATGTAGATTTAGAGTTGAGCAGTGAAGTGATGCAGAGTGAGTGAGAAAGCGGATGGCAGTACAAGCCTTTTGGGATTGTAGGGTATTTCAGTAGATACTCTTCTCAGCAAAGGCAGCTAACTCTATAATCTCGGACTCAGTTTTAGGAGTTTTAGGCTCCTAAGATAGAGTTGAACTCGAATCTTGCAATATGGTATGCGTTGGCTGGTACGAATCATATCCTGGAAGGGTTTAAAGTATCTTTTGACTATTCAGTAGATAAATACTAGTAGCCTCGAAGCCACTCAGAATATTTCTTTTCGTCAACCCTTCTGCCCGAGCCTTCTCCAAAATCTCCCAAAAGCATTCCTTTTTCACAGTATGGTTTCCCTATTGAAATCTCTCCCATACTGTATCTGTCCACTTCCACTTCAGTGGGCTAAATACAGCAATATCTAAAGGCTGTAATCTATGTGTCGTATGTGTTGGCAAACAGAAGGGCATGATGCGATTTTGCAGACAATAGAGAAGAAACTCCCATGTGACATGAGAGGAATACCCATTGAACAAAGGTATGCACAATTGAGACCCACAGTCAGCCTTAATCGCAGTCTTTGTGCTTAGTCCAAAGCAGTGCTCGAGATATCATAGGCTTTTTTTACTATCTGTCTAGCCATTCTCAGAAGAACTAACAAGAACCTCATCTAGTATTGAAAGATAACCATGACTGCTTTTCATACAATCTTATATACCATCTCCTTTAAAAATAATCCTAGGTAATAGTTCAGAGCCATCTGCACAAATGGTCTCTATCACAGTTGCCATTTCCCTTCCACCATTAATCGCCTGTAGTCTGCCGCTATGATTTCGTAAATCTTTACCATAAATAACTCGACAGGATTGTGTGAAACTCATAAGATGGCTGATTTCATCTAGATTGTAAAGATTTTTGGACCTAATGTTGAACTTTGAAATAGCTGTTTCAAGCTTTTTAAATTAACTATATACAATATTTGCTATAGAATATAGTACATACATGTTCAAAGAACTTTGCAAATGTATGATAGTCTTGTTACATCTCAACTCGGACATGCTCGATTTGTCAACTGTACTTAATACCCAGTTCTGGATGGTGGGCTAGGAATAAAAGGTGCCAGTTATAGCCGATAGACTGAGTCTTTTCAGAATTCCGTTTACTGCATGGATATATTGTTATTTCTTTGACCAATGCTATCCGTAGTGGAAAGCAGTAGTCTTGTATTTCCAAACACCTGCCAGTTAATTAGCTAACTTTATCTTTATATCAATTAAGCCTATTGAGTTTATAACAATTAACTAGAGCTTGCTATTCTCCTGAAGTCAGGTATTGTTTCGGTTTATCATATTTGCTTATTGGAGTTCAGCCATAATCGCGATGCCAATGACTTTACTTTGAAACTTCATAATTCTGGGCTAATTCATTGAAAGTGGGAATGTGATTAGTGCCTTCGTTCTGAGCATGATTCAAATAGATATGTGCAAGTTTAATACTTTGTTTGCTTGTGAAATTCTTCTTGTTAAATGATATTATAGCCAGCTTTATCAAAGGTAGAGAGTTTCAACTGACTTCAATTGTCTTTTCATTGCTACATTCTACTTGAGCTGATTTTTACATGATGACAGATATCCTATATGAGTCATTGCACTAGTATTGCACCAGTCAAGTTAACAGGAAAACAGGTTTATTGGTGCTGATTGAGTACTAGTTGTTTCGTGTTGCCGTGTATTTCGACTCACTGTGGAGTACATTACCCTATTTTCTCCATCACAAAATCCGACACAATTAAGACTTTGTGTTGTATGTATCCAGCATCATTTTCAAGTTTTTGGCTTTCATATGCCAAGATTAAAAACATCCAAATCTTGATTTGACTCTAAGGTGGAGGTAAATACAACTGATTTGACATCTATGACTATAAAATTTCATTGCTTCAACAATACTACTCTGTCTTCTTTTATTTTTATTGTTTCTGAAATCCTGAAAGTTGAAGAATGAGTAATTTTGATTTATCTTTATTCAAGCTTGAATTAGGTCTAGCAGAGTTGGAAGTCTATCAACATGCATCAATACAGACAAATGTGCGTTGGCAGGGTCAAGAGTGTAAGGGTGAACTGATTAATATAGAGGCTCTCGAGCCTGAGGCATGGAAGACGTACTTTAAATACAGTACATAGAAGAAGAATAATATTTCTAATATAGGAAATGAATAGTTAATAACATAAAAAGATTTTCTAAGCACGAGATAGAGAGATTAGTTTGGTGTCTGGAAATTCCAGAAAAGGTCTCCGCCAATAATAAGATTTATGAGCCAGATGATATAGCACTTTGTATGCTACTTGCACGATTAGTATAGTCACATAGGTTATCAGACATCTATTTACAATTTGGCTAAAAGCTGGAGCAAGTATCACAAATTACAAATACCTGTAATGATCTCTCCTTGGATAGTTAGTTCTTGGTGATGGGGAATGATACTTCTGTTCTTCTTCTGTTTCCTTCCTTAGTCTTATGATAGGACTAGGCCTCTGTCCACATTACCAATAGTACAAGACCTTTGTCTTCTATCAGGAACGCCTATCATAAGCTTTCTCTAACTCTTCTTCGTGAATAGCTTTCTTTGTGTAATAATCCCTCTCTGGATAGTTAGTTCTTGGCGATGGAGAACGATACTTCTCTTTCTGTCTTCTTCGTTCTTTATCTTACGATAGCTCTAGGCCTCTGCCTACGTTACCGATAGTACAAGACCTTTGTCTTCTATCAGGAACGCCTATCATAAGCTTTTTCTAACTCGTCTTCATGAAGGACTTTTCTTGGCGTAACAATAACGGTGTAATAAAGATAAAGATCATAAAGATGTTTTATATTTGTTGAAGTAATAAGTAGGAAAAGTACTTAGAATTCAATCTAATTTTAATTATACTAGTACCGCCGACACCGGCATACGACCAGTCTCCCCCTCGCCCATAAAAAACAAACTATCTAAAATACACTACTGCGAACCATTTCGCCTTGCAACCACTCCTCCCAAACATAAATCCAAAAATCACTACCTATATGGGCTCACGGGCGCTCGCAGCAACTAGTGCTGCCCTGAATTAACGCGTCTTCCCACCTCGCCGCCCAGCCACCGTCTCATACCCTCACCCCTATCTGCCTCCAACACAATCTGACCCACATACTCAACAAAGGAAATATACAGTCTATCCCAACATCACTCTGTCCTCTTATAATGCAGTCCCAGGTCCACGTACCCCTCGGCCAGAACCACCCCACAAAATGTGCAACGCTCCTCTTTTAACAACCCCTTTGTCTTAGCCCACTGCAAAACCACCGATGTCCGAGTCGCGAGGTCCAGCTCGTCCCATTGCTGGTACCTAGAGTGCCAAAACCGATCGTGACACGTTCATAAACAGCGGGGCTTTTTCTCAAAGTGTTCGGAGAAGGTGACTCGTTTTTGGATAGCCACCGCTGAAATCGCAGTCCCACAGCAGGGACAGTCGCAGCGTCGTTGGTAGGGCAAGAAAAACCATTTCTTCGGCATAGTTACCAATCCCGGTAGAACGCATCCACTGCCATCGTGTTTTTTCTCGCACTGGGTGCAGGTTGTAGGATTCCCTACTGTCGCCAACCGACCACTTCTTTCCACCATCAGTGTACCGTCAAAGGGGTTACCTGCTACTACCAACTCCCCATCCACCATTTCAACATGCCGGGGAATCCCTAGGCCTAACCACCTGTGACTCACCCACCAGGACTTCCACCGCAATATCGCCGAATCCTTGTACAAGTCTTCATCAGCAGGGCGTTCTATAGCATAGTGGGGGCACTTAGTCCAGTGGTACCTGTCATCCTTCCCTTCACAGCTATCATGCCCGACCAACCCTGTTCTGCTGCGAATTCTCAGTAAAACATAGGAGTCCATACGGGTGAGACCGCGAAGGTGTCGAGGTGCTCTAGGTTCGTGAGCATAATACCCGTGTCCCTCCCTTTCGTGCCATGAACTCCACTCTGCTCTTCGCAATTCTCGGGCCAATGCCGCATGCCTGATTCCAAAGCTTACCCCTTCCCAACTCAGATGCTGCAATGGACGACCTACGCAGGCCTTAGCCTTTTGGTCCACCGTCTCATTGCCGCCAATGCCCATGTGTCCCGGAACCCAGCTCATGCTGACGTGGCTCAACGCGTTAAGCAGCGGTACCATAACTTCCCACAGCTCAGCCGAATCTCC